AAAATGATATGATTTATATTACAGAAGGAATTTTTTCATAGAGTGGTACTTATATTTTTCATTATGAAGGGGAAAAAAAAGCTTTAGTGGGGACCCTTTGATAATGTGCTTTGTGAGTATATCAGCTATTTGAGTTAAAATAATTTGGTTTATAAGGAAACTTTTAGGAACATATTTCTTTCATAGAGTTATACCTCCATTGATTTACTCAGGCATATTGTATATGTGTTTATCTACAATAACAATACAGTTGACCCTTAAACAATATAGATTTGATCTGCACGGGTCCACCTATGCACGGATTTTTAAAGAATATGTACAGTGCTGTAAATTTATTTTCTCTTAATGATTTTTTTTAACATCTTCTTTTCTCTAGTTTATTATAAAACTGTGGTACATAATACATATAACATGAAAAATATGTGTTAATCAACTGCTCCTGTTACTGGTAAGGCTTCTTCCAGTCAACAGTAGGTTATTAGTAGTTAAGTTTTTCATGCCAGTTTTCATCTGCATAGGTGTTGGTGCCACTCTCCCCGTCCCTGTCACTAGAGAAGAAGCATTAGCGCTGGTCTCAGCCTGGGAGGTACCATAGCATAGAAGCTATGAATTTTTTTTGAAGTCAGACTCCTGAATTTTAAATCCCACTCTATCACTTCCTTTGACTTGGGCAAGATACTTACCCTTCCTGTATCTCGGTTTCCATGTCTGTAATATTTGGATAATAATTCACAAGGTGTTAGGAGAATTAAATGAGTTAATATTTAAAAGTTCTTAGAACACTGTCTATTTTATTCAAAACACTGTAATAGTGTATAGTTAATGTGGAATCTAGTTAACACAATATTAATACTTATGAAAAGATAACACATTATGAGGTATTGTACTCTCTGAGGGTCTATAAAAACTTATAATGAGGCATTTATATTGTACTATATTAGGGTTGTAAAATTTTTCAGGGTAGAGAAACTATGGGTTGTATGGATGGTAGGAGAAAAATTCAGGGAAGAAGAGGGTAGGTCAGAACAGAGCTGAGGCGGGGGTCAGACTCTGGTCCTGCGGAGGCTGCTCCAGGTCATCACCGATGGGGGAAAGAAAATAAGTCATTCCAGACATTTCTCTGTCTGCCAGGGAAAGGGGTAGCACTTCCCTCTAGTGGAGAAAGCCACGCCCCTATGTCCAATGGCTTTTATTGAAAGGGTTATCAGTGGGGCTACGTAGTAGGAATGTACAGGTGATCTCATTACATCAGTATATTACTGTTTACAGAGAATAGATGATGTTTTGAAGAAAACAAGTGGCAGGAACACACTGATTTACATTCGTCCGAGAGGAGATGAGTAAACATGAGAGCGCAAACATAAGAGTGCCAAAGAGTTTAGGGTCAGGGTCTGTGAATAATGTAAATTTCCTTCCCAGCATGAGCTGGTTGTCATAGCTTTTGAGAGAAAAACAAAGCATGCTTCATGCTTCAAAGAATTTACTTCTAGGCCTGATTTCCAACCCCGGAATGGCCCAACCCAGTTTAGGGCTGTCTCCAGTATTGTTTCAAACCTGAGCCAGGCGGGGGATCAGAGCTACCAAGAGATAAGGAGACTTCTTTCAGATAGAATGAGGACCCCAGCCATATCAAAGCCGAGGGTTTGAGGGTCTTTTGGCTTTTCTCCATGTACCCAAGCTCTTCCCTGATTCCCATGCGGCTGTGCCTGTCTTAGGTTGCCTTTGCCATCGAGAGGTCTTACTTGTCACTGACCAACCAGCCATCCTTCAGGGCCAGGCAGGGTGATGTGAGGGAGGCAGGGGCTGCGTTCCTGCCAGGGGAACAGGCTTTGTCTCTTCAGCGGCCTATTATCCCAAGGCCTCCTTGCTCATCTCCAGCCTTGGGGCCCTCTTGCCTCTTGGCGAGGCTACAGTTCCTAAAACCAGATGTGACGTTTCCCAACACAGAACTTGTATATATACAATTGAGATAGAGAAGAAAGAATAGGCCCAAATTAGAGGGGAATTTAATAAACAAACAGAATTGGAGGGAATGTATACAGACCAGGTAAGTTGGATAGTGTTGGAGAGTAAGTGAAGAAATAACTGGAAGCCATCTTAGGAAGAAAGAGGTAGAAAAACTGTGAAGGTCCCTGGATACAAAAATAAGGCTTTGAGATTTTTATTTGTAGATTAGGGCTCCCTAACTTTTATAAAGGAGAAGCTTATGAATGATTTTGTAAAAAGTGGTTTAGCACAGTACTTGGAGGGTAAGTGTTCCATAACTGTTAGCTAGCATTAACAATTGTAGAAATGACTATGTATTATTTCACTATATAGATGGGCTATGTATGGATATATCTATTTTTAAATTACCTATTGATGAACACTTATTTCATGATTTTTAATTTTATAATTAATACTGTGATGAACACTCTTTCCATAAAATTGTTTCGTATATTCATGATTTCTTAGGAGAAATTTCATTCTGTCCCTTAAACTCCCCTTGGTAGAGTGGCAGTGAGTTTCAGAGGAGATGATAGAAATTCACTCCCCTCTGCTAAAAAATCCCTACAAAACTCAATACTATTTTAGTTGCCAATAGGGATGTAGTTCAAGTATATTTACTAAAAAAACTTATTATAGACCCTTTCTATGCATTATGATAAGATTTTTTAAAAGTCATGGACACTTTAGGAAGATAATTTGGCATGTAGGCCAGAGTGTGAGGTGACACCAAAGGTATTTAGTCTAGGACATAATATGAGACTGATGGTCATAGATCTCCAGAGGAAATATGAACACAAGGTTTGGTAGTTTGGGGAGAAATATGGAATGACAAAGGAGGAAGAATATTCAGTGATGGTTTTACTAAGATTCTAAAATTCAGTGACTTGGAGAATGTGATCAAAATACTGACATTGTAATGGAAAGCCATTTTTGGAGAGAATACAGTTTAATTTTAAATATGTTTGGGAGGCATTTAAGTTGACCTATATATTAAATATTTAGATAGGAGTCAGATCTGGAGTTCCTTTCTATAGCATTCATATTAAACCATGGAAATGGTTGAGTTCAAATAAATTACACAACTAATAAAAGTGGCATAGCTGAGGTTTAAGTACAAAGTTTTACTTCAAAGTTTGTATTCTTAGCCCCAATGCTGCAGTGAATGGGAGAAGTCCTTTTATTCACATTTATTGTCATAACTAGTATTTGATCTTTTCATTTTCTAAGTTATTTTTTCATTATTTTGACATTTTTATACATTTTCTGTATAATCTTTATTGTTTCGTTTAATAAAATATCTTGGGTAGTATAGGTTGGGCCTTTAAGGCAGACGTTCCTGGGCTTGATCTCAGCTCAAGCCATTTATATCTATCTGTGGACTCCTTAATCACTAAATCTAATGGCCTTGTCTTAGTGTTAATTTTCCTTTGTATGCATACAGCAGAAACTCCTTCCTGAAATGTAGGTTCCTTCCCTTTCAGTAGTAATTCACTGTCCTAGCTTTTTATTTGTTCTACCTTTTTTTCTCTGTAATTTCTTCTATATGGATATACCTATATGTGACTGTCTCTGCATAGCTTTGAACTTGGTCCTCTATTGCTTTTTTTAACATGTCAGCTGACTCTGGATTCTGATTATGTTTTTTCTTCAATTACTCTCAATTCTGTTCTCTCTTTTCCATCTTCATGGACTCAGTTCAGGACATTTTTTTCCCTCCAACTTTGTAATAGCCTCCACTGTCTCAAGTCTGTTTCCGTCCTTTCCAGTCCAACCTTCCCTCCTATCCTAAAGTCATTCTCTTAAAGTACAGATCCTATACTTCCCCACTGTTTAAAAACCCTTCAGTGATTCTCCACTGTCAACAGTATTGCCTCTTAACACATATTCCTTTGGACAAATTAGGTATTTCTCTAGGGAGGTTAAATGAGTTTGGGGAATGCTTGTAGTAATGCAGTTAGTCAGCCATCATTTTAGCAGCAAGGATCTTAGTATGCTAATTTACATTGTGAATATACAAAGGAGATACAGAGTACTATGCAGCATTTTGCAAATATACCTGACTGTGGTACACATTAAAAAAAATACATGTCTAGTATCTTTAAAACTAGAATAGGTTTTAAGACCCACAAGGTAAAGTCCATATTTCTATATGTGGAATTGAAGGGCCTTTTTTTTTTTTTTTTTATTCAGCCTTTGCCTATATATGTCGTCTCATTTCTGGCAGTGACCATACAATTTGGAGTTCCCCATGGGGTGGGGAGTTACGTGTTTCAGGCTTCAGTGGTTTCACCCATCTGTCAGGAAAACCCCTACTTACAAGTAAAGTGAAGATCATCACCTTTTCTCTGACACTCTCTTAGATTAATCCAGGGAGGCTTTACATTTCCTTTCTTAGCCCCATCCCCCTAATAATATACTTGGTGAGACCCTTCTTTTTTAACAACTATCATATGGTATTATTACTTTCTTTACATTGTTATTTCTGTGATAGACTATACATTCCTTGAAGGCTGAAACTATTCCTTTTCATTTCTGTGACATTTGTACCTAGAAAAACTACTAAATATAAATGAAATAATTGAATTATAAAATAATTACAGTAACATTTTAAAATAATATTGGTACTAATAGAGTTAAGTAAATTACCAGTAAACATTTCTTTTATCTCATCTTAGAAATCTCTTAAGATTCTTTCTATATTAAGTAGTTAATGTGGTATCAAATTCAGTGCTCTAACAAAATGTTTTATGGGGAAAACTAAGAAAAAGTATTTAATTACTATTTTTCTTTGTATTTTTCATAATGTGTTCATTAAAAAAAATCTTTTTCTTACATTAGATTATAATGTAATGTCTTCATTGAAAATGGTTAGTCATTAGTAAAAACTCAGTGATTACTTTTCTCCCAGGTAGCTTGAGTTTCATATTGAGATGATGTCTTCATCTATAGTTGTTAAGATAAGAAACATTATTTTATATGAAACATTGTTTAATGTATATCTCTCTTCTTAGGCATCATTCTTAACAAAGAAGTTAAATATTGGTGGGAAAAGAGTAAACCTTGCTATATGGGTAAGTTAACCTTTTCAACTGTATGAATTAAAGCCTCTACTGTTCTTGGTACTCTAATAGCTAATTGGCTCAAGAAGTAATTTGAAAATCTGGGTTTTCTTTTAAATTAACTGAAGATTAGTCAAAATTTCTTTTAATAATTTTTTTAAAAAGATGGCTGATAATTATATCTTGAATACAATTATATACATGAATATTGTTATAACTTTTCAGCTGGGTGAGGATTGACTCAGAGCAATTCCATGTCGAGGAAAGAAAAGGGATAGACAGCCGCTTGGCCTTTATTTCTCATGTCTCTATGTTCCAATCTTCCAAGGGAGTGGCTAATGGAGAGCAGGGTGAGGGTAGTGTAGTAGCATAACAGTCAGCAGGCGATCCTGGTGCCTGCTTTCTTTCCTTGTCTCTTTCCTCTGTGGGGAGCCTAAATTTAGGGTCAAGCCTATTCCTGGCTTATAATGCCAGCTGGGCCACTCTGACCCCCAGGTAACTGAACTATTTATTTTAGTGGGGGTAGAAAGATTGCTGGGGAGGAAGATGATTGGGAGGGGAAATGTAAATATTGTATAACAGTAAAACATTAAATATTGATTATAATGACTTTTAAAACATCTTTTGGAACTTGATTTGTTTCTTTTAATAATGTTTTGGGGTTATCTGTAACTTTTTGCCACTCTTTTAGTGGTCATGATCTTTTAGTCAAAAGTTTCCTATAGATGCAGTAGCAGATGTATTTTTTTTCTTCTGACCTAATAAATATTTGTTGCTTTATTTAGGATACCGCAGGTCAAGAGAGATTCCATGCATTGGGCCCAATTTACTACAGAGATTCAAATGGAGCTATTTTAGTGTATGATATAACAGATGAAGATTCCTTTCAGAAGGTATCTTATTTACTTATGGATAGATGACTTAATAGAAGAACACTGGTTTTTCAAGTTTCCATAGCCTGTATTTGTTTACTAATGTGGTTAGTCTTGGTTTTAAAGTTACAGTTTGTACATAGTGACCACTCATAATTTTTAATGGAGTATTTAATTCATGTTTGCAATATGAATGGTTTATTATCGGGCTTTCTTAGATATTAGGAAAGGGAAATAATCCGAAGTAAAACTCCCGAAAAATATAGGGGCTTTTTTTTCCTTCCCTGATAAAGTAAAATCACATACATTTCTTGGATTATATACATACTGGGCACCTGAAATCTTGGTACGGTTGCATGGGCTTCCTAGTTGTGATAAGGAAAAAGGAGAACTAAATCAAATTTAAGCTCTTTCTCTTTACTGAATATTGTAGAGGATATAATATTAAGAAGTGTTTATTTTAAAGCTCCTCCATTTTTTTACCCCTTTTTAAACATAACCAAAAATATAGAGTTTTTAAAGTTGGTTAGAACCAAAAATGAGTTACCATTAAACTTATCTCTGAATTCTCATCACCATTAGGGTAGTGACTGATTACTCCTTTGACCTTTCCTTTGAAAACCCCTTTTGGAATTTGTCAAGGGTGTGTAACTGAAAGGGGTAATTTCCAAGGCAGAAACTTACCTTGCCATGAGTTATAGTTGTGTTTACGTTGAAATTGTGTTTGCCTTTTTAGTTTTTTTTCTTTTTATATATTTCCCAATATTTAACTGACAAAGCAGATATATGTTAGCCCCAGGATTATGAATGACATGTGGAAAAACTTAGTTCAGGGAGTAGAAAAATGGAATGGCTTGCAGATCTAATGATATTTTTAAAAGGTTATTTTGGGGCTGCTATTTGGTGCTATTTGTTATCCCTTCCTGCCTTTTTGCCCTAAAAAATGTTTTAGGTATTGAGAGAAGGCTGAGTCTCATAGGTTGAAAAATGACCACTTATCTCTTGCTGCATAACAAAACCCCCAAACTTATGGTTTAAAATAATTTACTATTTCTCATGACTCCATGGGTCCTCTTGTTCCATCTGATGTCAGCAGAGTTACTTATGCAACTGCATTGAACTGGAAGTTCGGCCGGGTGGGGACTGTCCAAGGCAGCCTGGTTCTCCATGTAACTTCACTCCATCTGGTGTGTCATCTTCTTGTACTCTCTCCACATGCTCTCTCATTGTTCCATATTCTAGTTTAAGCTTATGTGACGGCTGGATCCCAAGAGTGTAGCTGCCAGGTCTTCTTAACGCTGATGTCTGGAAGTGTCATAGCATTACTTCTACCACTTTCTCTTGGTCCAGACAAAGCTAGCCCAAATTCAAAGGGAAGGGAAATAGATTCCAAATAGATTATACCTCTTGATAGGAGAGAATTCATGGGCAAAGAATTCATGACCATCCTTAACTCACTACAAAATGTATGGGGTAATGAATAGGATGCCTGTGGAGGGGATCTTACTGGAGGTGAATAACACATTTTTTTTAAGTGTTCAGATTTATTAGGTTGTGATACTATATGCATAGAGAGTAGAGTAATACATCATATTATATCAGTGCTATTAAATTTTTATTATGTGAAATCAACTGGGGGTGGAAGTTAAATGCTTTTCTGAAAACTGTACACATGCGAATGAAACAAAAAGAAGGGACTGTACTGAGAAAACTGGTTCAGTGCTATTACAAGGATAAGGTAGTGATACTGATTATCTTTGCTTTTATAAAGATTTGGGGTTTACTACGGAGTTAGTTCCTCTTGTGGAGAATAGAAGTGTAGAGCTGTTATATTTGTATCATAGAACCAGATGAACAGTAAGTGCTTACCACATATCTAATGTAATTTTTGTAAGTTAAAGATGTGTGTGTATTTTTGGAAGGTGTATAAGTTCTGTGTAATTTGATTGCATACAGAATAAATTCCATTACAAAAAAACGAAAGGCGGTATCCAAGTTTGTTTTTTGTCCTGTTTTGTCCCAGTCAACATTTATAAAATCATGAGTTCAAAAGATTAATTTTTCAAATTCCAGTTTACTCTCAACTGTGCCTACTGCTATGCTTCATCGATAGTGAAGTATCAGTTTGTTACTGGAGTCATTGTATACCAGTGGTTCTCCAGGAGGGCGTGGCAATGTCTGGATGCATCTTTGGTTGTCACAACTGGAGGATGGTACTGATATCTGGTGGTTGGGAGGACAGGAATGCTACTAAACATCGTATATTGTACAGGACAGTCCCTTACAACAGAGAATACCTGAGCCAAAATAACAATAGTGCCAAGATTGAAAAAACTTGTCATATACTAAAGGATGAAAATTTATTTTGCCAGTCTTTTTGGTGCCCATATACAGTGTACAGTTTTTCTTGTAAGTGTGTGGTACAGAAGCTCCTATGCCGTCTATTTCAGAACTAGTTGGGTTAAGTTTTTGTGTTCTTGGGTTAAGTCCAAAGTGACTCTGTACAAGTATCTATTATCAGAGGCTGGAGTTGACATGCTTTTGCTCTGGTGAATACTTTTGCTTGAATCTACGGAGGGTTTATGAAAATTTATAATTAGAGGTACTTCTTCTGTCTGTACCTTTATGTAGATAGAAATACTTCCAACGGATGTTTGAATCTGTGTTGTTTACAATGTAATCTGGCAGTAAATGATCTTACAGTGAATCATTCCTGGTAACAACTAAATATTTGAGGTATTAGCCAAATTTTGAGGTATTTTAACACTTGATTGAATTTGGGGGTGTTACAATGGCAGTCTTATAAGAGAATTTGCTTTAACATTAACTCTTTTGTATGCACAGGTAAAAAACTGGGTCAAAGAGTTACGGAAAATGTTGGGAAATGAAATCTGTTTATGTATAGTTGGTAAGTATCATTACTTTTTTAAGTCTTTATTAAAGAATAGTAAACCACTAACTCTCATTTTAAAATTATATGAGAAAAGAAGAATGGCATTTTAATGTGTAATATTTGAGAATAATTTAGTGTTGGGAAATGCCCTTTCAGAAGTTTCAACTCTGCCTCAAGGAATGCCTTGGGGAGCAAGTGGGAAGCTAAACATGTAAGGCTTTATTTAAGTTGCCAGTCTTGCCTCAGTGTGACTTTTCGTTTTTCACCATAAGACTTTATTTAGAAGAAAAGTTCAGGAACTAAAATTAAAACCAATGACTTAAGCTAGCGTTCTTGTTCTGCACATTAAACTACATACAATTTTGAATTCAGGACAAATTTGATTCCAAGGATATAAGTAGCTCATGATACTATAGCAGAGGAATATTCTTAATGGGTAAAATAATGGAACTCTAGAACTCTCTCTTGGACTTGCAGAATTTCTCTTTCGTACCCTTTTTTTCTTTAGATTATTATTTCTATGATATAACAACTAATTACTGAACTATAAAGTGTTCCAGACATTGTGCTATGTATTCAGTAGACATTCTCTCATGTAATCCTCATTACCCTGTGAGGGCTTTACGGAGGAAGCTGAGCCCTGGAGGCACACTAACTTGATCAGTATCAGGCAGCTGTCAGAGATGGGATTCAAATCAATATAAGCACTCCTGTGCTTATATTATTAGTCTTTATGTTGAGTAACCTCATGCTGTTTTCTTTTTCCTTTCTACATGACTGATACAGTAAACATGGCCTGTGAGAAACCTGGGGGTTTCTAGGGAGTGATGTATAATAGAATGGTCAGTGTGGGGAAACTCTGCTTTTAGCCTTAAGCATTTTTGTTTTTAACTTGAGTTTACATTTCATTCAATTTCTCACCATTAAATGATTGGTAAACTTTACAGTTCCAGATCAGGGTGTAGGTCTGGGGTAAGAGTGCAAGGAGGCCTGATTTTTAGTCTAGATGCTGCATGTTAAGCTAGATGGCAGGAGTATACCAGAACAGACTATATAGGAGTTTGGGACCAAAGTTGCAGCTAATCATTAGTGAGTTTGGCCTGGATCTGTGTGGTATATGGGACTTAGTGCAAGTGGAAGTGGCTATGATGAGTGACCAACTGGATATTTGAGTATTTGGGATTCTGGTTGTCTCTCAGAGGAGAGAAAGAAATGACTAACATACACTCAAAGAAGCCCCAAGAGCTTGTTACTTGACCAGGGTTACAAAGTACCATTTAAAAAAAAAAAAGAAGGTAGCTGGGGGTTAGACTCCCAGTCAGGATGGCGGCATAGGTACACACAGCTTGCCTCCTCACACAACCTCATCAAAATTACAACTAAAGTGTAGAACAACCATTATTCAGAACTGTCAGAAATTGAGGAGAATGGAACTCCCAGCAAAGAAGAAGAAACCAGCTATGGAATTAAAGAAGAAACCACATCAAGACTGGTAGGAGGAGAGGACAGAACAGGCTGGTCCCACACCCACCATGAGGGAATCCTGACCTGTGTGGCTCAGTTCCTTCAGTGTCTTTCCACAAAGCAAGAGGATGCTGGTTTGACTCCTGGTGAGGGCACGGGCCTGGGTTACTGGTTCGGTCCCCAGTTGGGGCTCATGAGAGGCAAGCAGTAATGTTTCTCTTTCACATCGATGCTTCTCCACCTCTTTCTCCCTTCCTTTTCCTCTCTCTAAAAATAAATAAACAAAATATTTACAAATGTATTAGAAAAATCAGGAGGGATATCTCAGGAGCAAAGGGTACAGCCCCACACTAGCCTCTCCAGCCCAAGGTTCCAGTGCCAGGAATATAAATCCCCGTCACATCTGGCTGTAAAAGTCCGAGGGGATTGAGGCTGTGGAAGGCAGAAACCTCTGGAGTTCCAGGCAGTTCCTCTTCAAGGGCCTGAACATAGAGTACGTGGGCTCATGCCCTCTGATCTCTAGGAAGGGGCAGCTAATTGAAAGGCATCAAAGACATACAGGGAGGAACTGAATTTTCCAGCATCAGGGCAAGAGTTGGGGGGCAGGTTTCTCCCAGACAGAAGTGCCGGCAGAGGCCATTTTTCCTTTTCTGAGCTCTCCCACAACAGAACCACAGAGCCTGCAGGTGGGCATCGTATCTGAGACTCCATCAACCTGGCTCACACTGTTTGCCCCACTCTTATGATAAGGCCCTGCCCCACCCAGCTTTCAGGCCCACCCAAGCTGTTTCCAGTGATGTTTCCATAAGAATAGCTTGTCTTGGCCTATGCTTCGGGTGTTCTCTCTAACAAGCAGCTTCTGGTTTAAGCAAGCCCTGTACCTCTTGCTAAGTTGCCCTAGGCCCAGCACTGTCTGCAGCCAGCCTTGATTCACAGCTTGGCCTTACTGGGGCACCTTCAAGCCAGCACAAGTAGGAGCAATCTGCAGATCACTTTGTAGCTTATGCTCTGTGACCCCAGACAGAACAGTCGGTGGCTGACCTTGGATGTGCCAACAGCAATCAAGGCTCTACCATAACTAGAGAATGTACACAGCCCACACGAGTTGGGCATACCTTGACCAGCTAGGGTAATAAGGGAGGCTGTGCCACTTGATTCTACAGGACACCTACTACATTAGGCACTCTACCAAACCTGGGAGACATAACAGCTCTACCTAAAACATAGAAACAAACACAGGGAAGATGCCAAAATGAGGAGACAAAGGATCATGGCCCAAATGAAAGAACAGATCAAAACTCCAGAAAAATAACTAAACACTGTGGAGACAAGCAGTCTACTAGATGCAGAGTTCAGTCAGAGGAGCAAGAAGAAAAAAAAAATCCAAGTATAGAAGCCTCTGGGACAAGTATACCATCATTGGCATCATGGGAGCCACCAGAAAGAGAAGAGTGTGTGAAATTGGAAATCTATTTGAAAAAATAATGAAAGAAAACTTCCCTAACTTGGTAAGGGAAATAGACATACAAGTCCAGGAAGCACAGAAGAGTCCCAAGCAAGATGAACCCAAAGAGGCCTGCACCAAGACCCATCATCATTAAAATGCCAAAGATTAAAGACAAAGAATCTTAAAGGCAGCAAGAGAAAAGCAGTTTAGTTAGCTACAAGGGAGCTCCTATAAGACTGTCAGCTGATTTCTCGATAGAAACTTTGCATGCTAGAAGGGATTTGCAAGAAATATTTAAAGTGATGTAAAGCAAGAACCTACAGCCAAGACTATTCTGTCCAGCAAAGCTATCATTTAGAATCAGAGGAGAGATAAAGAGCTTCCCAGGCAAGAAAGAGCTAAAGGTGTCCATCACCACCAAACCAGTATTGTGTGAAATGTTAAAGGGTCTTCTTAGAGAAGATAAAACATATGAACAATAAAATGGCAATAAGTACATGTCTATCAACAATTGACTCTAAAAAAACAAACATGCAGAACAGAAACATAATCATAGATACAGAGAATGTTTTGATGGTTGCCAGATGGGAGGGGGCCTAGGAGTGAGTAAAAAGGTAAAGAGATTAAGAATACAAATTGGTACCTACAGAACAGTCATGGGGATGTAAAGTATAAGCTTAGGGAATACAGTAGCCAAAGAAAATAGATGCATGACCCATGGACATGGTCAACAGTGTGGCGATTGCCTGAGGAGGGATGGCTGAGTCATAGTGGGGCAAAAGGGGAAAAGTTGGGACAACTGTAACAGCATAAACAATAAAGTATAATGCACAAAAATAGCTGGGGTAAATAAGCTTATGACTATTAAGCTTAATTTTGTTAAACTGTATATTCTTCATGTTCATATTATAAGAAGATTTAGGAATAGTGTGTCTGGTTGGCTTACTACCCCAAGTAGGCTCAAATATTTTCATTTATGGTTATATACTATTAATGAGTAGTATAAAATAAAAAAAGCTTTCTTTTATTTCTATTGGCAAATGTGACATAGAATTTTAGTTGTAATTCAGAGTTGGAAGAATTTGGAGAGCCAATTTACCGCAAGAGGAAAATTTCACAGTTAAGAAAGCCTCATCCCCAGTACCTTAGAAGCCCTACCCTCGCTTCCTTCTCATCCCAGCACTACCACATGCCTTCCCTTCACCATCTCCTACTGCCAAACACTATCATGACTTTTTTACTGCATGTGCTCATTTTGTTTTGAAGTTTATATAAATATAATCATATAGTATGAACTCTTTTGTGTGATTTCTTTGACTTGACTTTATGTTTGTAAGATTTCCCTATGTTCTTGTATATAGTTGTAGTTCATTTTATTCCCTTTGATGTATAATACTTTATTCTATGAATATTCCACAGTTTATACTTTTGCTGTTGATGAACATTTGCATTATTTTTTCACCTGTTGATTTTTATTTTATTTTCTGTGGTAGTTTAGTATTTTATTGCTGGTAATTTTACTTATAGTAGTTCTTATGTTTTATTATTAACTTCAAAATAATAATTCCTCACATGATTATTGTGAAGATGAAATAATGATTTAGAAAACACTCTCTTTCCATAGAGTGGCATTTGACAAATATTTGTTTCTTTCCCTTTACATACAACAGCCTTTCAAACCTTTGGTCTTCAACTTTTTTTGTTTGGCCTAACTTCCAAATATTCTTACCATCTGATTATTTTTTCCTAGGTTTATTTCACTGTATCAGTGTGTCTCCTACCCTTGAAGTGGACACTAGAATCCATACATTGTCAAGCCACTGTATACTTACATAGCTCTCCTTTTTAAAAAATCATCATGCTGTCCCTCTACTAATGTTGCGCAAGATTGTATACACTTGTCAGCCATGTCAAGTCAATGTCTCTTTTATATAGTTATAGATAACAAATATTTGAATTCCTTTTTTAATAAATATTGCTCTTTTGTCAGGCTTTTCCTATCTTGTTCTTATATAATTAAGCTATTTAAGCCTAAGTGTAGGAATTCCAATTTATGTCTCTGAATCTTTTTGTTTGACATATAATCTGCTAGCTTTTCAGGTGTAAATTAGATACTGAGCCTTCTAGGTCCTTATCTAAGCCTCTGTTAATGTGTTAATCAATAACAGAGAACCCCATACTTTACTGTAGACATTTTTCCCTCTAGGTTTTAATTAATCCATTGATTGGCGCTCTTGTTCATGGTTGTTCTATTTGATGCTATTTTTGCTTTTAGTCTGCCCTTAACATTTGTATGTTTATTAAACAAATATTTATTATTAATAAGTTATTGTTTATTGAGTGCCAGGTACTTTTCTAAGAAGTACACATTTATTATTTCATTTAAGCCTCCTGACAACACTGTAGGGAAGGTATTGTTGCCATTTCCATTTTACACATGGAGAAATGGGCTTAGAGAGCTTGATACTTTCCAAAATACAAGGCTAGTTGGAGGCAGACCTAGGATTTTAACTCAGGTCTGTCTGCTACTTCAAGCCCATATCCTTAATCAACACTACATATTGCTTACTATGTACCAAACTTTAGGAATAGTGTAGTGAATAAGTAAACAAAGTAGATAATGTCTTTGTCTTAAAGCTTACTGTATAGGGAGAGAGAAAAACAAGCTATTATATATTATGATAAGTGCTGTGAAGGATGGTACTACAGAGTGCTGTGATAGCACAGAAGCAAATCTTAACTACATTTAGGGGTGGAGGGTTAAGGGAAGATTTCCTAGAGCATTGTGTCAACTAAGTTAGCTGGATGAAGCCAGCAGGGTGGTAGTAGAAAGTATCTATTATGGGCTTTAATTTTCTCATAACAAGATTGATTTTCCATTTGATCATTCACTGTGATAAATATGACTAATACTAATAACTACTCTTTATTAAACATGCTAAGCCTGGTACAGTATTTTCACATCAACCCTGCAAAGTTTGTTAGCTGTATTTGTACAAAGTGAGACTAAGAGAGGTTAAATAATTTGCCTAAAATCTTATAGTTATGAAATGAGCCTGGACTTACAAACAAGTTTTCTTCAGATTTAAAAGGCTTTTGAAACAAAAGTTTTTTACTACTAGGCCAGACACCATCCAATTTAAGCAAAGCATGGTTCTAGCTCTTTATTAAGAAGCCCTCTGCTCTTAGCAATAGGTATATCCCTTCCATGTTCTTAATTCAAATATGTATTTTTAAAGAAAATAAAGTTTTTACTGTTCTTAATAGGGTGGCTTTGTTTCTCCCTTTCCAATCGCTTCAGCCAAATTTTTTCTTAATCTTTCTGGTACTATACTTTCAAGTAGGTGCTTACTTTGGTGGTTATCCTTGTTTTCAGGCATTTTAAGCCTCTTAGAAAGTTTTCTATGTTAGCTGCATCATAGTGTTAAACCAGATATGAGTCTTAAAACCTTAATCCTTTAACTGTCTTGCTTTTAAAAGAATATAGGAACTAAAAAGGTTTTGAGCTTTAGAAATATGTCTGTCACTAACAGGCATTTTCTGTGACTTAGCCTGTGCTTAATCAGTCAATCAATCAATCCAATTATGGACACTGTTCAAAGAAATACTTCATAGAGGGATTTTAAAATCTTGTTTAAAATAATAACTGTGGGGCAGTGGAGAGCCACCTGGGGGAAAAATTGGGACAACTGTAATAGAACAACAACTTAAAAAAGGATATGTTGCTGGAAAAATAAAATTAAATAATTAGGTTATTAAAATATATTTTGATAAACTGGATTTATTTGTCATTTGGGACGGTAAGGTTATTGTCTACGCTCCCTGTCCTCATCTTTTTTATTTTATTGTCTACTCTCTCTGTCCTCATCTTTTTTATTCTATTATTCTTAATCTTTTCTAAGAAGCAGAATACTGTGCCTTTATTTGTTGGAGCCACTGGACACTAGGTGGTGCTTTTTGCATTCTTCATAGCATGCATAAAACAACTTTCCTTAGTGACTGTCACATATTATTGGTTGTAATATTTAACAAATTAAATTTTTTATTACAAAGTTTAATGTAGGAAATCAGAACTAATATGTATCTTCTTGCTGAGGTAGACAGATAACTGTTCAAAGAGGGAAGAGTTTATTAATTTGTTGCTATCTCCTGAGCTTTAGTGTAGTCTACTTCCCTGCCTCTCATCATCCTTAGCCTGCGGAGTCAAGTAGTTAATTGCAGTACTCACAGTTAGGTGCTCATATTATTTGTAGTCTTTCATAGATAGGACCTCAGAGCTTATATTTCTCAGTTTTAAGGATTGTATTTTTCGTTAGGTGCTTACTTCAGTGCTCTAGCTGAAATTGTCTTCTAGATTCTCTGAGGTTCCAGGAAAAATGACTGTTTATAGATTTCCTTCCCCTCCCCATTCCTCCCCAAGTCATAATAGAAAAAATTAAAATACTTGTTTGAAGTGTCCTTCGTTAGGGTATTTTTCCCCATTCGTGTCTGTTATTTCCATTGCCTTTAGCACTTGGTGTGTCCAGCTAAATCACCTTAACATCTGTCCTGTACTTAATAGGGAATCTGCATTTTGCACTTTCTTCCCTTTTGTTTCTTAGTTTGTTTCCCTTGTTTAAGGAGGGCTACCTTTATTTTCAGTAATTTTAAATATGCATGATGTGCATATATATTTTAATTTTTTTAATTTTCAGTTACCATTGACATAAAATACATTTGTTTCAGCTGTACAATATAATGATTAGGCATTTATAGAACTTCTGAAGTGATCACCTCAATAACCATCTGACATCATACATAGTTACTATAAATAAGATTATTGACTGTAATTCCTATGCTGTACTTTACACTTCTGTGATGGTTTTTATAACTGGCAATTTGTACATCTTAATCTCTTCCACTTTTTCATCCATCCTCCCAACTCCACACCCATCTGGCCATCATTGATTTCTTTTCTCTGTATCTGTGCAGTTGTTTATATTTTGTTTGTTTATTTTTTGTTTTAGATTCCACATATAAGTGAAATCATATGGTATATGTCTTTCTCTGTTTAACTTGCTTCATTTAGCATAATAACTTCTCAGTCATAATGTGCATATATTAAGTTCTCTCCCAGGAAACCAAAATACTCTTTAAGATCCAAGAGGTTAACCTAATATATTTTTTGAGAACAGTAAGGTACCTTTGCTTAATTGTTGACTGGCTCTAAATTGATCAGGGACCATTTATACTTGGCTAAGGAATATAGGTTTATCCCTAGGTTTCCTACTGAATTTTAGTCTCTGTTATATCTTAAATCAAGGAATAGTGCCCATCTCTTTGGAAAAGTTATTTTCTCTGACTGGCTGCCCCTTCGGAATGCTGTGCATTATTTGGGGGAGGTTGAGGCATTCACTTTGATAGTCATGATCAAGCCTCATATCATAGGGGTTACCTTTATAATTTTAGGACATTTAGAAGTCTGATGGGTATTTATGTATTTTTTCCAGGTTATTAAAGTGGCAATTGTATATTTAGAATTGGCCTAATTCTGTTATAAAAATGAATTGATATTAAAGATTGGCATTTACTTTTTCAAATTAGGTAATAAAATAGACTTGGAAAAGGAGAGACATGTTTCCATTCAAGAAGCAGAATTGTAAGTGTTATCCCTGTCACCCTCCCAATGATTCCCCTCCTCAACAGTAACTCCACAGTAGAAGTCTTTCTCTTAGCACAGTGTGCCTTACCATTTAGGTGTTACTCAAATGTCTTAATATAGATTGAGCTGTTGAATTCAGTGAAGCATGTTAACATCGGTAATTTCTAGACTTTTGGCAATATTTAAAAATAATCCACTTTCACTTCTCTTTTTGATTTTAGTAAAAAATATAAAGTGATGCAAAAGAAAACTATCATGATCAAATAGTCAATGTGTCACAAAACCTTTTAAAATAATTTGGGTTCCAAATTAACTTCTAAAAATTTTAAGTCTTGTTAACTTGTGCTCATTTAAAATTTGGTTCAATGTATAGAGGTGTTAAATGGCTGTATAATCTTAATTTTATTAAATACGGGTTAATTAGTAATAAATCACTAAATTTGCTACAGTGAAAAATTCAAATAGCAGTTATGACAAAAACATGAAAAAATTTTTTATATCGATCACTGATTTTTTTGTTTTTTAAGGTATGCAGAATCTGTGGGAGCAAAACATTATCATACATCAGCCAAGCAGAACAAAGGAATTGAAGAACTCTTTCTTGACCTTTGTAAAAGTAGGTATATTCAGTTTTAGCATGTTTGGAAATGGCTCTTTTAAAAATACTGGTAATATTTCTAAAGTGATGTTTTACATTCTCCATTAATGATCCATCACATCTGCCCCTACTATTATTTACTTAATGTGTTTTCTTTAACTCAGTTCTTGTAAATATCTACTTATAAATACCTACTTTAGCCCTATTTCAATCAGTAATGAATGGCTATGAAATCTTAAGCATGTGGTATGTACTACATGCATACTAAAATGCATAACTATTAACAGTAAAAATGGAGGGGGAATATATAGATTAAAACAGATTTGAGAGATGTAACATACAATGGATGGACCTTATTTGAATCCTGGTATGACAAAGTAGTGAAAAAGAACATTTGTGAAACAGTTGGGACTGTATGAACATTCACTGGATATTTGCTGATATTCAGCTATTGTTGGGACTGTGGGAGGGCAAAATGGATAAAGGGGATCAAATATATAGTAAGTGATGGAAATTAGGCTTTTGGTGGTGAGCACAGAATAGAGTATATAGATACCGAACTATAATATTATATGCCTAAAATTTATATAATGTTACCTCAGTAAAAAAGTAAATTTAAAAAAGATATTATTGTAAAGTTGTATGGTGTTACACTTTAAGAAAAGAGTTTTTACCTTCTACAGATATTTGATTAATTTTATGCGTATGGGGTTTGATTCATAATAATGGTAATGATGCTTGCCAGGTATGGATGAAATTGCCTGATGAACATACAGATTGTCATTGTGCTATTTTTTCTTTTATATATATGTTTGAAGTTTTCTGTATTAAAAAGTTGTTTAAAGAAAGAAAGGAAAATGCTTGCTTATATACAACCTGAAAGTCATTTCTCATATCACCAGTAAAATACATACCATTCTTTGGAAAATCCAAATCTATGGAATAATGGATTGAAATGATTTTGTCTAATTATATTTCTTAAATTTATGGACATCAGACTTTTGAGAATTTGATGAAACTGGTTTTTCTCTCAAGAAAAATGTACATGTACACAACTTTGGAGTAAACTTCAGTTCTATGAAAACCTGAAATCATTCATAATTCTTCTAGAGTAGTAATTTTCAAAATGAGATCCCTTAATCAGCAGCATCAGCGTCACTTGAGACCCTACCCCAAACCTACTGAATCAAAAATCTCAGGAGGTGGTGCCCAGAATCTGTCTTAACTGTATGATTCCAATGCACAGTAAAATTTGAGAAGCATTCCTGTATGTGCTGATCACTTTGGGATCTTGTTAAAATGGCTGTGGTGTGGGCCTGAGCTTCACATTTCTGACCCAAGTGCTGATGATGCTGGTCCTCCCTCATACTTTGAGTACCAAGGCTCTAGATTTGGCTTAATAATGTTTAAATCACATACCTTTATTTAAAAATTTGGATATGCCCTGTATGTTTATTTAAAAATAAAGAACAAATGGTGGAAAGAAAGGGAAGGGACTAGTCAAAGATCATGTATGAATGACTCATGAACATGGACAGTACTGTGGGGATTGACTGGGAGCTCCGGGTGAGCTGGGGGGAGGAAGGCAAAGAGGGAAACATTGAGACAACTGTAACAGAATAACAAAAAATAAAAATACAGAACATATAAATACTAATATGGTGTACATTATAAAGAGCATAAAAATAGAAAATTTTAAAGGTTGAGGTAAACTAAGTAGAAGTTAGAATTTGTAATGTTTGCTAATTTCATCTCAGGTGATTGTCTCACAACCTCAGTTTGGAAACCATTGTTCAAGAGCAGGCTCTAGACCCAAGTTTAAGAACCTGGTTCTGTTTTGAGGGTTCCTTCTTTTCTTTTCTCACCTTTTCAGATATGTATTTTGCAATTACTTACTCCCAGTCTGTGTCTTGTTTATGTCTTATATTTTCATTTTTCTTAACTGTCTCTCAAAGAAGTTCTTATTTTATGTATATATGTATGTATGTATGTATTTTTATCCTCACCTGAGGGCATACTCATTGATCTTTAGAGAGCAGGGAAGGGAGGGAGACAGAAAGGGAGAGAAACGTCGATGTGAGAGGAAAACATCGATTGATTGCCTCTCATATGCGCCCTGACTGGGGAATGAACCCACAGCCTAGGCATGTGCTCTGAATGAGAATTGAACCTGCAACCCTCTGGTTTATGGGACAGCACTCCAACTAACTGAGCCACACCAGCCAGGGCAGAAGTTCTAAATTTTAATGAGGTCTAATTTATTAGTTTTTCTTAAGATTAGTGTTTTCTGTGTCTTATATGAGAAATCTTTGCCTAACTCAAAGTGACACAAATTTTCTCCTATAGAGATTTCCTCCTACGTTATCTTCTGGAAATTGTTTTACATTTAAGTCCATAATTCATTTTTTGTTAATTTTTGCATATGGTAAGAAGTATAAATTGCGGTTTATTTTTTACATGTAAATGTCTAGTTCCAATCCTGTCTCTTAAGAAGATTATCCTTCATTGACTAATCTTGGCACATACAGCAAAAATCAAGTGACCACATATGTGAAGTTTATATCTGGACTCTGGTACATTCATCTCTCTATTTCTCCTTTCACCAACATCTGTCTTCATTAGAGTAACTCTGTACTGTATCTTTAAATTAGATAGTGTGAGTTTTCCAGCTTTATTGTTCCTCATGTTCAAGTCTTTTATTCTTTCAAATATGCATTACTACTTGAAAAATAAATTTTGTGCCCTAAATATCACTTGTAATTGGAACAATTTGGACTTAACTTTGACAAATTTCTAAGTATATTTGGAAAATTTTAAGGGTTATACTTGTATACAGTCATTTGTTCCAGGCAGGAACTTTTCTCTGTTGATGTCATTGTCACCATTATACATCTGGACAAATGAACTTGCTATTACTTTTTTAAACTTACAGGAAAAGCTATTTAGCGAGATGACAACATGTTTATTATATTTAGTTTCCTTGTTGGTTTTAGTCAGAAATGGCTGTCAGTAGTGGTATACTGAAATTACAGAAAGAGAAAATTCAAAGATTGTAGTCCTAAGTAATTTCTGCTTTCTTCCTCTCTTAGGGATGATAGAAACAGCACAAGTGGATGAGAGGGCAAAAGGCAATGGCTCCAGTCAACCAGGAACTGCAAGGCGAGGTGTACAGATTATTGATGATGAACCTCAAGTCCAGAGCGGTGGTGGAGGGTGCTGTTCTTCTGGATAACTGTTTACACCTAAGAAATTAAAACAAACTGTGGATCATTGCCCTCAACATGAAGACTGCCATATTCCAAGTCACATTATTTTACCAATGGAATTATAGAATTAACAGTATTTTAAATTACGTTTATAACACTGCAGAGACCTTAAGTGCTAAACTTAGTGGAGTTTGTGACCAGAGAATTGGCATTTTCTACAAATGTTAACAAAGCAATTACCAATGGCCTTTTTACATATTTTTTCTTTAATAAGGATTAATATGCATGTAGAAAAGACCTACTTAAAGGCTTCATTTATATTCTTTTAAATCAAATCTTTATTTAATAACTTATATATGTTGTTGGAATGGTATACATTTTGCAGCCCTTTGTATTTTGTGGTAGTTTGAATTGTATCACTTCTAAACAGCAAACTGTTTTTGTTTCTTTTTTTTTTTAATTAGCAGATACCTGAAGTTCTATTTTTGCAGGGTTTGCACAAGCCCCTAACTGTCTACTACTTTGGTATAATCTATATACATCCTGTATGCTGAGCTGGTAAAATACATTGTAAATTACATATTAAATATTTTATCTGCTTTTACAAGCGCAAGGTGCAAAAATATATATACAGTAGTCTCATTGATGACTGTAAAGTGATTAACATTTGATGATAATGCCTAAGCTTTTTGACTCTGATATATAAAGATCATAGCTCCCTTCACTTTTTTCTTAATTTCAAAGTGGCGTGCTTAAATTTTCACATATACTTTACTTGAATTATTGATGTCACGTTTTTGCCTCTGTAAGGCCATCTGATGATTGAACAGCAGCATTTGCCTTTTGGTTTGGGTTGTTTTTTTGTCTTTTTGTTTTGTTGTTTTCATTATAAAAGAGATGACTTGGCCAATTTTGCTTTAGAATGGTTATCTTAGTAGAATTTGAGTGGAGCATGCTGAGTTTCACTTCTTCAATGGCTTTAGTTTTCTCTTAGGCTTTATAGGAGATGGGTTCACTGGTGTGAGAAGAGAGGGAGAGGTCCCAGATAGAAACCATGACTCATTCACGCAGCATGTTAGTGATAGTTTATGCTTCTGAGGCAGCACTTTCAGATCCTTTGTGAGCAAGTTGTATTCGTTCAATGCTTGCCAGAGATGAACAGAGAAAGTTAAGTTTAATTTTGTAACAGCTGTTCGGAGTTTCTGTGAAGGGAAACATTTCATTTAATGCAGTTGCAATGAACACTGGAAAGATTTATTATAAAATTATATTCTTGTATACTTTGTAAATTAGTCTCATTAGATTTTTTTCCCCTTAGGCATAGGACTGAACTTAAATTTGTTAATTTTAATAAAATCAGGCACAGCTCACAGAAGAAACACAAATTGTAGAAATTAACATAAATTGTTCTTGTTTTAATATATATATTTTTCCATTTCTGTCATGCTTGGAAAACTAGTAAATGTATGTCTAAGATAAAATGGAATGGTCCCTGGATTTACTTCTTATAAGAAGCAATAGTATGCAATAAAGTTGTTAGCATGAGCAATTACGAGGATATAAAGAGGTTATAGTTACTAAAGAAGTACTACCATATTTTAAGTTAAAAGCTTAAACTTTCCCAAATGGGTTAAAAATTGAATGAATTGCCACCTTAATGTTTTGATGTTAGAATTTTAACCTAGTGTTAAGGGTTCTGTGAGCCCTTAGTTTACCATTTTAATGATTGTCCTTGCCAAACTAAACACACTGACCTCTGTGTGTGTGTGTGTGTGTTCGGGGATAGTGGGGTGGGAAGAGTCAGGGAGATAAGCTAAAATTGTGTTCTTTTACGGGGTGACTGCACTCTGTGTAGTTTCTGGCTTCCTGGGATGTAAGTGTTTACGCAGGGAGTTGGGGGAGGGTCGGGGATCATGAGGACGATAGAAGAAAACTTTTTGGCCGCCTTTCAGAGGTAGTAAAGAAAGCCTTGCCATTTCTACTGTTGCAAATGGGAAATAAGCTCTTTTTCATTGGAGTGAAATAGGTTTTCTGAAATAGAGATGAAATTGAACTTTATTCCAAAAAATAAAGTCATAAAGTGTAATAATTGGAGAGCTGTATTCTCCGTTTGGACATTATAAAGGACAGATAGGAACCTCTATTCTGGAGTTGCCAGATAATTATTGGTGGGCTACACCCACTGTCTTGTTGTTTTTTCCTCTTCCCTTGGTTTCTGTGTATCTTTCTTAACCTCAAGCATTTTATTGAATTTTTTATCCTGTAATTTAAATCAGTAGCAACAATCGGTAATATAGTATACCTGTCCTTGCTGTGAAGCCCAGGAGGTCTTTAGGTAGGAATAAGGTGAAAGGGTGATGAAAGATGAATCAATTGTACTATGTATCCAAAGGAAAGATAAAGAGATGCTAGACCAAGGATGAGGAAATTCTTCTGATATTTTCTCCATATCTAATATATCTTTTATGTTCCTGTCCTTGTAATTGTGCTGTTAGGAAGAAGACACAAGGTACCATGTTATGTATTAAAACTAATAGGTAGATAGAATCAATACATTTTTCAAATAGTAGGTGTATATAAACTTAGTATATTTAATTAAAAATTGGCTTAAGATAGCCATTAAAAATACCTGAATATTATGTTAAAAGTATACAATCTTTTCTGTAATGCTAGTGGCTATCCTGCTCCTTGTTTTGCTGTGTGATTACAGAAGAAGATTATTATTTTTAAAAAGGTGTATCACAACAATTTTGGGGTAATCTGAAAAGAAAAAAAGTAATGTTATTGGATAGAGTGTGTTGAATTTGTTCTAAGGCTGTCTCCTGAAAATACCCTAGATCTCTGGCTGTTAGAGCTAAATTAAAATCTTTTTTTTTATATTAGCCATATATTACTTATTAGTGATTACTTTTAATTAGGCATTAAAGTAAAAAAAGAATATTCATTTTTATAGTCTTAGTAAGAAAAGACAAAATTTGGGAACTAGGGAACGGATAGTGAAGAGTAGAATGGAAATTAGGTAGATAGGAAACTGCAACCTGACAATTTTTAAAATCATTTTGAAAAGTATGTTACTTTTATCACGTAGTTTCTAAATAAGGCAAGCTATGCATTGTGTCAGACATTTGGAACATTAAAAAAATGAATTGTGATGCTAATTATTTCTTTTAGTACAGAATTTGTGATTTTCTGTATTATAACTGCTACCAAGAGTCTAGATCATTGATCTTCAGACAATACAATTTTCCCTTATACTTACTACTTATCTCTGTAAGTGGTTTGATATATGCCTTTAACTTTTCAAATTATCTTTTATCTTGTTTGCCATTACAGTTTTCATAGGTTCTTTATAGGTATAGTGTGGCAAAGGAATACTTAATTGGAGACCGTTTAAGATGTTGGGGTCAAAAGCATGTACATAGTAGTGACCAGTCGTAACCTTACAATAATGTCTAAAGATAATACAGACTGAATAAATCCTTAAATATTCTCTTCTAAATTACAAAATGCATTACCTAGATTTTAATAATTAAAAGCTAGGATTCATTGAACATATACATTTATTTGATTTTATAATAGGCATTGATTCTAATATGTTGCTGTTCTGAAATTTTTAATCAACTGAAACAGTAATGTATTCAGTGTTGTTGGCTAAAATTCATGTTAAACATATGTCTTACTTTGATGGATTTTCCCTTTTCAAGAAAACAAATTAATCACAATCTGAGCAAATTTTCCTAAATGTAAATATTTTAGTGTTAATCATGCCATGAAAAGAATTTATAAATACTCGTAAGAGTTTTCATTATCAAGCAAAAATTCTTCACTTCTAAACAAATATCACTTAAATATCTTGATAGAGCTTTAGCACTACTTATTCTATCTGGGATTTATATATTATCTCTTTTCTGAGAAGCCCAGTGTACTATTATTGAGTGTTAAGTTTTCTACTGCAACATTTTTTCTGTGGTAGACAAATGAGCATCACAAGTTACTGTTCCATCTTACACCCAGTAAGAAAGCATCTTGCCCTCTTCAGAAGCCTGCATGTATTTTCAAATGCATCGCAGTAAAGCCAAAAGATTGGCCTGCCTACTTAAATGAACTTTATTCCTACTGTATCAGTTCTTACCTTTATTTTGATACTTCCTGGCAGCTATGTCATCTCTTCATTATTAAATACTCAAGAAAAAGCTGATAAGATTTCCTCAAATTTGAATTTTTGTAGAGCAATGAGAGAAAGCCTAGGGATAGCAGGAATAAAGTTTGATAATGTTGAAAAATAGACAATAGTGATATTTGCTAAGCTATATTCAGTAGCACGCTATTTTAGGGAAGCCATCATATGTACTACTTCCTAGAACTGTAAAGTTCCTCATTTTGTATTATCTAATTAAAAATATATTCCAGGAAAAGGAATAAAAAATAAAGATACTGTAAAAATGTCCTTTGGGGACCCCCCTCCCAAATGGTAACTCTTGGTCTCTGATATATACTCTTCAATTACCTTTTTGCTATGCATTTATATACATTTTTATCTGTAGAAGGCATTGCATTTTGGGTTTTAAGTTTTTACATGAATTGTTCTTAACTATGCATATGTTTTGCAACTCGCTTTTTTTTCTAACCAACACACCTAGAAGCTCTTAGGCAGTATTACAGACTTTCATTTTATTTTCTCCATCATCTCTTTGGGCGTTTTTACCTTTTTGAATAACCTATGACTGTCCATGAAACCTCCCAAAAGATAACCTGGTCAATTTGATGGTCTTCATTAGCATTGTAAAATTTTCAGGTAAACCAGTGCTTAGTTAGAATCAGAGTCTCCATAAGTGTGTGAATCAGGAAATTAAAAAGGCATTTGCTTACAATTCATTTGAAATACATGACTTTTGGGCTACTGTTGACTGATTAATATATAAAATTTGGAAGTTAAGTCTAACAGAGTAGGTTTTTATTTGTGGGAAGAAGGAGAAAAAAAGGGACAGTATAGTTGATAGGGGAAAAAACACAGGTTAAACTAAGACAAGTCTTTATTCACCTTCAAGCAGTTAACGTCACACAGGGCTTCATGCTACCAAAAATTTAAACTTTCGTTTTATTTGTACCTTTAATGTAGAGTAAAAAAATGAAAAGTTCCTTTTCAGATCTTCCTTTCTCTACCATCCCACATACCTCTGTAGAGGTAACCATTGTTAATTAACAAGGTGTGTGTGTATCTCTATTATATATAAATGTTTTTATTTATACTTGATTTTTATGTTTCACTCCCTGAAAGCCACCTTTTACCCTCTGTCAAATTCCATCCTGAATCAACTGACCAACTTGAGAAAAACCAGAATCCCACTTTAAAGGAAGCTAAATCAGTGGTGTGAGTTCTTGAACTAGAAGTTAACTGACCCTTAAGATGATTTATGTTTATCATAAATTAAGCTAAAGGAGTAAGCCATGCTGGGAAAGCCAGATCAAATTATTGGTTTCTATCCCCTGTGGAAAAAGGGCTGAGAAAGAGGACTGTGCAAGCCCAAGCTGCTTCATACCCATGTAATTTTGGGTTGAGCTCATTCTCTTGGCATCCTTACTTGGGGGCATTGCAGTGTCCCCAACAATTACTTTAGATACCTGTCTGCACTGTTAAGGCGGCGATACCTTAGCCTGTTAGTGCCATGACACAAAGTTAAACATGTTCCCCAAAACAACAAATTCATACTTTTAATGAAAACAACAATTGAAGTACAATTTTCCATGATTTTGTTAATAATTTCCTGATGGTCTCTCAAAGAACTTGAAACACGTTCTGGCTATCATGACTATTCCATCGCTTTCACTCATTTATTGAGTGCCTGCTGTGTGCCCAGTCCCCTTTATAGTTTAGAGCTTAAAATTGGAGAGCCAATAGTCCAGGACTTAAGTAGTTTATTTGTGAATATGAGGTTAACTAATCACGCATATTCACCTTCCATATTTGATCAGATGTGTGCCAGTGAAACGGGGTGATTAGAATGACAGTAGTTGGAGTTGATAAAGTGGAGGTAAACCTGGAAAGACGATCTTGAGTCTTGCAAATAATTTTCAAACAGACTGAAATAGAATGACTTTGTAGTTTCAAGAGGCAATTAAGTGATCCTAAAGCCGAAAGTGCTTTTCCAAAGTTTGTGTTAACAGTGAAGAAACAGATGCCTTGGGGCTTACTTAGCTGCTCTTTTTTTAACCTAGAAAAAAATGCATTTTAAAAAGTACTGTTTTCTTTGCCTTGTCACTAGACAGTAATCCAAGAAACAACTCATTACTGTTTCGAAGAGTGTAACAGTGTAATTTGTGACTTCTAAATATAATTTTCAATTTGGAATATGGGTCCTCTCTTCCCTACCTGAAGTTGAAGACATGCCAGAAAGCTTAATGAATATCCGAATCATCTGCTAATCTTTCCAGTATGTTTTAAGAATATCTTAATTACAGTGTATTATTAAGGATAAGATTATCTAGATCCCTTCTTGGTCCTTTAGGGAAGAAAATAGAGTGAAATCATTGGTTTTTAAACTATTCCATGAACCAGTTACCAAGGACTAACTTCTATTTATCTGTATTAATCCATCTGCACTAATTCAGGAAAGGTGAATAATTTCAATGATCTAGTGACAGTTCTTAAAAATGTAAAAGCCCTGTAAGGGAAAAACTACACAACAAGAGCAAGATCTTTTTGAAAATTTTTGGTTGCATCCAGGGTGACAAAATTATTATACTTTTGTCCCAAAGCTATGTACAATATAAGCTCCTCCCCCATGAATCCCATATGGATGCATTTTAAACCTGAAGATGTTCTTTAATTGAAGTGGCATGAGTAGTTTCTCCCTTTAAAGATTTTAAGGCCTACAGTAGTGGCACAAGAAAATCATATATGAAGGACCTAATTTGGGTTGAAATTGAATGAAGATGGTCAGATGTGACATTTAATTTACTGAATGCTTCTCTTTGTTTTCTTCCAGTGACATTTGATAGTTCTCATTTCTCAACATGTGGTTCACTGCTTTGCCAGAACTATCAGCACTGCTGCCTCTTTTGGTCAAAAATTACTAAGATGATGTAGAATTATTTGTAAAATAATCACCATGTGCCATAAAAGCAATTCTCATAGAAGCAAACAGTCTGTGGACTGTTTGGGAGGGATATGATTAATAAAAATTGAAGGGGGGTGGGAACTGGCTGGCTAGCTCAGTTGATTAGAGCATCTTCCCAATATGCCAAGGTCGCGTGTTCTATCCCTGATCAGGGCACATACAAGAATCAACCAATGAATGCATAAGTAAGTGAAACAACAAATCCATGTTTCTCTAAAATCAATAAATAAAAAATTGAGGGGAGTTCCTTAAATACTGAAATAAGAGAGAGTGTAGTGTTGATTGAGAGCTTCATTCAATCTGATACATGACTTACCTGTTTTTATTGATAGCAAATCCTGGGAATATGAACGGGTGTGATTAAATGAAAATTGATTTTCAATTGGGAGTATTAAAAGCCAAAACTCAAAAAATAGCCTTTAAAAAATATATTGTCGAAGGATCACAGTATTTGTAGTGGTACTGAAGAAACAACAGCCCTACGCCAAGCACTGCTTTTTAAAAAAGAAAGGAAGAAAAAAGCTTGTATTTAATGATGATGAAGTTTTGGGGTATCCTTAACCTAATAATGCCTTATGCTGACATTTTAAAGCCAGCTTTAACATCGTTAGGGAAGGTTGAGATCAGTTCTGTGACCTTTAGTTAACCTAGGTTAACATATATTCTTCAGAGTCTGCTCTCCCTTTCTCCCTCAGTTGCCTTTCTCTTTCATCAGTAAATTACAGACACTTTCAGCTACCTTGCCCTTGTATGATGAATTCCAAATTTTTCACGTCACAATTTTTGTTAATGCTGTCCTGAATTCCCTTACCATCTTTTGGAAACACTTGAACTAGAGAATTTGAGCTGTTCATTATTTTTGCCCTAGTGTTGAAAACTGGGTAGAAGTTAATGTCCCAAAATTCTTAATATTAGGCAAACTTTTTTAGAAAAGTGTGTAAGTTTTTAGCTTCAATTTTTCAAAATAATTTTGCTGTTCAATTTTTTGCTTTCTGGTTGCTTTGCAATATATTTAATGGGTTATCCAAACAAATCCTCACACATTAAATCAATTTTTATGCCATTTTAACATATATACCAAGAAATGTTAAAAGGAACTTGTGCAAGCGCCTGATGAGGCACCCCGTATGAGGAACAGTGAATGGACAGAAACGAGGCAAAACATAAAATTATCTTAAATCATAACCTCAGGTTATCTACACTGATTAGCCTTGTATATGAGTCCACTTATCAAAAAAAAAAAAAAAAAGGTACTTGCACTGTTTTCATTTGACTATTGTGGTCAGGACTCACATCCTGTTACGAACTCATTTCTTAGACCTCTGAATTTCAGTTAATCTGCCTTTGTTAGTCTTTGGTAGTAATCCTAAAACACTAGCACATTTGAAAATTTATGCCTCATTTTTCTAAGAGTTGGGAGTTTGGTGTACACAGTCAGTATAAGATCTAATGGATACAAGGTGCAATATAAAGCCCAAGGAAGAATTAGTTCCCGAAGTAGTGAGGGAAGCTCATGAGGTCTGAGACAAGATTGGAGTTAGGCTGGGGCATAGTGTCTCATAGCCCTGTGAGGAAAATGACAATCCATTTTTCTCAGCAGTTAGTTTGTACTTGCCTGAATTTTCATCTTATTTCACTCTAGCACACAACTGTTACTAACTTTACCTCACTTTATGAAAGTTTAACAGAAGTTAGTATTTTTATCTTGCTTGTAAAAGGTCTGTAGAAGAAACATGCTTTTCAAGTGAAACTTCTGGTTTGATGTAGTGTTTTTTCAGATGGACACATGACAATTTATCCTTCCTATGTAGTCCACTGGTGTGGTTGCAAATATTTTAACATAAGATCCTAAAGTAAAAAGACTGATTTTCTTGTATAGCGTATAGAATTTAATCTGTTTCATGCATGTAAACATGTTTGGTTTTAATTTCTCATCACATTATACCTAATGTGTGTATTTTTAAAATAAAATTATACATAGCTTTAGGAAAACTGCTATGGACAGTGTGTGAATATCACCAAAATGTTTAAGCAAATCTGAGACTAAAAAATTTTCATTTTACCTGCAATCTCATATGTAAATCTAAGGAAAAAACTTTCAAACTCCAAGGCCTGCTTTGTTGCGTGCTACATATGTGATACTTTAAAAGATTTCATTGTGAGAGGAGAAAAGAATTAGATGCTATGAATGGACAGAAAGAGAATTAGTAGGACCTGACAAAAGTGAATAAACCAGCTGGGCAGATGGAGAATTTAGCAGGCACTTTCTGTTTCTATTTTCATAATAGAGGTTAATCATGAACCATTCAATGCAGAGCATTTTACTGGTGCTGTGAATGGTATACAAAATGTATTACTATAATTCATGTCCTCAAGGACCTTAAAAACCTAGAGGGAGAATTAGAGTATTTAGAGACATTAGAAATGAAGGAGGAGGTATAAAATTAGTATTTGTAGAAGACAATGCAAAGGTTTTCTTTCTTTTTATTGTTCAAATACATTTGTATCCATTTTCCCGCCACCACTTTCCCCTGCAAGACAATGCAAAGATTAAGAGTCAACTGAAAGTATCCTAAAAGCTAATAAAATTGCTGGGTATAAAGTTAGTCACAGAAATTAAAAGCTTTCACTGATATAAACAACAGCCAATTGGAAGATGTAATGGAAGAAGAGGCCCCTTTTAAATTAAGAACAAAGGAGGGAAAAATACTTAGGAATAAACAATATACAAAACACAAAAAACAATTTCTTCTGAAGAGAACGCTCAAACACAGAAAGGCATATATCCTTGGAGAGGAACACTTAAATCACATATATGCCAATTCTTTCTAAATTAATCTATAAATATAATGCACTCCCAATAAAAATATGAGGATTTTTCAAAACTGGAAAGCTGATTCCAGAGTTCCTATGAGAAGCAAGACTAGCCAGGAAAGGTCTGGAAAAGCAAAGAGGGTAAATGAGTCTTATAAAATACTAAAATAGAAAACTCTAATAATTAAAACAGTTTTGTCCTGGCATATGGTTAGATCTTTAGAAGAGAATTAAAAGGTC